AAGCCCATCAGCCTTTTCCAAATCCCTGTTTTTCTTGTATTTTGTGTTCAGGCCCCCGTGGCAGTGGCTGCATCCCCTGCAGAGACTGAAGGACTGGAGCAGGGTGAGCTGACCCGGTTGTGGTGGGCGAGGCCTCACAATCTGCTTGAGCAGCCCCGGGTTTTGGCTGTTGCTGTTACCTGGAGTTGTCTTGTGGTGCCGTGGTCTCGAGTGCTCCTCCTCGCTACTTGAACCCTGGGCCGGATGCCGAAACTGGCCGGGTACTTTCTCTGTGTGGAGAAACCACGAGAGATGTGCAGCGCTTAGTGAAAGCTGAATGCTGCTTCGTTCTGGGGCTCAAATGTCAAACTTGGTGTCTTCAGCTTTTTGTTGAGGTTCCTCCCTCTTTGCATCCATGGTTACAGTTACCAGATGCTTTTTGCAGACCCAGTAGTGTTAAGGCAGTTGGGTGAATGGTTAATGACCACTACTTCATCTGCTGATGACTTGTTTACTGGATAATTCATCAGCAGATGAAGTAAACCAACTTGCTCTCCTCATTAGTTCATTTCACACGCTCTTTATCCTGCAGGGCAGCACTGATGTGAAGCTGGGCTGATCCACAAGCAGCTCCTGACAGGACCAGGAGGATTTGATATATATGAGATACATCCTACGGGGGAAACACAGTGGAAAAACAAAGGTATTTTTAAAAATAGTTTTTTGTTTATTTTCCAGAATACAGTCAGTTTTCAGACTTCAATGGGGATCTTAATGTTACCACAACTCATCTCAGTAAGCGAGGTCTCTGCTGCCCCAGGAGGAGGCACTGGACGCAGCCAGCCCAAATGATGCTCTCAGCATCTTTCCAGTACGGCAGCGGCCGCACGGTGTCCAGGTTCGCATCCTGGTCCATCAGCCCCCAGGTTCCCCTGGTCCCAGGAAGGGAACAGCTTTTGTCAAACAGGACACAAGCACAATTGCATGTTTTGGTCAAGAAAATTTTCCTGCTAAATAAGTTAGGTGAATGTATTCCGCATAAAAAGTTTTAGTTACAGCAGTGTATTTTCAGGGTACATTCATGTACGTATTTAAATTTTTCTATGTAAAGCAGCTTTGTGTATATGAATACACATTAAGACTATGTCTATGAATATACATTGAGACCACGCTGTTACTGATGGAGGAAACTATAAGACCCTGCACCGTGGTGTCCCTGCTCTGGCAGAGCTCTTCTTAGTGAGTGTCTGAGTGGGACAGTGGGGACAGACCAGGACCATGAGACATTCAGGTCAGTCGTGACTCGGTGCCTGTGACAAGGAAGCAGCACTTCTGGACACGGGCATTATAAACACCACATGAGGGGTTATAAATAACACCACACTTGATGGGGTTGTGCTTCAGCACAGACAAGTAACGGGGGCAGAATGAAAAAATCCCCTACCCCAGAGCCAAGTGGTCTATGAAGAATTTACTTATTTCTGCTGGCGGCCAGTGTTTAACTGGCACCACTGCCTCAAACCCAGCTCATTGAGTTCTGTCCTGGGACAGCTGATTTTAATTCTCGTGTCTCTAAAGCAATGGCTTTTGACCCATGATCCAGAGGGTTCCCTATGTCACTCCTCCTGGGTCCATGGGTGGTACTGAGGACAGTGTAAATGTCTTTTTACTCAGTGCGTTTTGTGCTGTTCCCTCTGTGATGCCTTACACAAGGCTGTTCCTCCGCTGCTGTGGTTCCTGGGATGTTCATCTCTCACTGGGAATCTTTGCTCTGGCAGTACCTGCACTGACGGGCGCTGCATCCTGGGCTGCTCCTCAAGGTCCTGTTTGTCACCACAGAGATCAGGAGCTGAGCTGTCAGGACCTCTTCAAGGCCGTGACTCTGGCAGTGACCCTCAACATGCAACTGTCCTTCGCATTTACATCTAATCCAGGGAACGGCACCAGTATTGGCACCAGCAGTGTGAATGCAAAACAGGTTTTCAGTAGCTTATGAGTGAAGTACACGTCTGACTCAAACACCAGCTGCTGAGGGCCTTCTAGAAAGACACCTCAGCTGGGAAAGGAGAAGAAAACCCACATTTTTATTTATCTCTTGAGGTCGGCAAGTGACAGCCCAGAGGGGCCTCGCGCGTTTGTGAAAATCAGCAAAATGAGTCTGCGGTAGCCGATGACGCAGGGACCAGCGAGCCCTGGGCTGGGGCGGTTGGGCTGGAGAGTCCTGAACCTTTGAACTGTGAGGATTCCAGCACCACAGCACTAACCCGTGGTTTTTGTCATGTTGGGGATAACAGCCACTCGGCAGCCCAGGGGCAGGGGTGACCTGGGGCTGGCTGCATAGCCGAGGGGTGAAAATGTGTTTTACCACCGGGCTGGGCTGGTGCAGGAGTCTCCATTCCTCACTTTTCACGGGGAAAGCAGAGCAGAGTTTTGTGCTCAGACGCTTTGCAGCTTGTGTTGTGCACTGGATGAAGCCTGGGGCTCGAGGCCGATGGTGCTGTCTTGTCTTGGAGACCGAGTCACTGCAACGGGGACCATTTCTGGGGGTGCAGAGGAGTGACAGGTACCCTTGTGATAACACTTGTTAACAGCAACGTTCAAAGCAATGACGATGCTCTTGGGATCCCAGCTCTAAACCAAGCAATTCTGATGCATAAACATCTGTGTCTCTTGGTGTTTGTTGCTTTTAAGGAAAACATTCTTATTTTGATAGGAAAGACTAAAATAAAGGCGAAATGGCAGGATAAATCCTAGACTCGCCGGTCTCCCTCACTTTGCTCTCAGTCACAGCTTTATTGCAGTCTCCATCCATGGAGCATTGGGTGGCAGTGCCCGAAAGGCAGGGAGGGTTTTCCTCCTCCATTTTGCCGTTCCCATGGCAGTGGCAGGTCCTGCTCTGCCAGTCATTGAGAATGGAGGAAGTGCCCAAGCCCACCCCAGCCCTGGTGGGAGGATGCAGGCTGTGCTCACGGGGAGAAGGTGGTGGTGGTCTCGGTGTCCATGGCGAAGGAGAACCTCTTGCTCTCGCGGCAGGTGGAGAGCTGCCAGAGGCGCTCCTGGCTCAGGCAGCCCAGCTCCTTCAGCAGCTTGAAGAGGTCGTTGCGGAATTTGACGCCGATGAAGGCGTAGAGGAAGGGGTTGAGGCAGCAGCGGAAGCAGGCCAGGGTGTAGGTCACGTCATCCGCCACGTCCAGCTGCTTGCTCTCCTCGCAGGAGCTGGTGTGGTTGAAGGCCGAGATGGTCTTGGCCAGCATGACGCCGTTGTAGGGCAGCTGGAAGACGACGAAGACGATTACCACGGCGATGATCACCTTGATGGCCTTGTTCTTCTCAAAGTTGCGGGCCTGCAGCAATGTTTTGATGATGATGAGGTAGCAGAAAGACATGACCAGAAGGGGAATTAAGAAGCCAAAAATCATCTGGGACAGTTTGATGCCAGTGTTGAAGGCCTGCAAGTCGTCAGTAATGATGGAACAACGGGGGTTGGTGTCTGATTTATTTATGCCACTGTGAACCAGCTCGGGGATGGAGAGGGTGAAAGCCAGGAGCCAAATGAGGATGCAGGTGACCTTGCTAATGAAAATCATCCGCGGACGGAAGCGGTGGGCCGAGGCAGCCTGGACGATGGCAAAGTACCTGTCGATGCTGATGGCCAGGAGCAGCAGCATCCCGCTGAAGAAACTCATTTTGCAGATGCAGTAGACGGCTTTGCAGGCAAACTCCCCAAAAAGCCAGTGCGTGGCTGCGCTCGTGGCCCAGAAGGGCAGGGTGAGCAGGAATAGGATTCAGCAGGTAGATGTCCGTCATGGTCTTCAGCCTCTTGAAGTAGACGTAGGTGAGCATCACCAGCCCATTGCCCAGTAGCCCTGTGAAGCAGATGAGGGTGTACATGGCAGGGAGGAAGGCAGCGCGGAAGTTACGGACCTCATCCTTCTCGCACAGGATCTCGAACACGGTGTAGTCGATGGTGGTGTTGGGGTCATAGTCATCGGTCACGTTGTTCCCACTGCAGAACTGCAAGAGGGAAGAGAGGAGGAGTGAGTTGGGATGGTCACCGTGCCCCACCATGGCTGTGTGGGGAGGGGAGCCTGGCCCAGGAGCACCCAACCACGGCCCATGGAGAAGCCCCAGGGAGTTCCAGATGTCGGCTCCTGCCAACATCTCAACAGAGTGGGCAAGGTCTTGTGGCTGGAAACGTTTCCTGTATATATGAGGAGTTTGGGGTATTTCTGGACCTCAGAATGGGAATTCCACCAGAAATGTTCAGTGCTCAGCCAAAGCAACACCTGCACACACTGACACAGGGCTGCTTTCCAGGAGGTTTCAGGACCCACGCACAGCTGTACAGACATCGACATGTGGATGACACGTGAAAAAGAACACATCCTCTCAGCAGGGTCAGTGTTTTCTCTCCACTGACTCCACTCACCAGGCATTTTCTAACTCCAGCATCCCCACCCTTTGCCCATCTCAGATATTCCCATTACTCGTGTCCCCTCCTCACAAGTGCCAGGGCCAGGCAGTGCCGTGGGGAAGTGGCTTGTGGGGTGGCAGAGCCGGAGCCTGGGGGTCTTTTCCCTGCCCAGTTCACAGAGGTGTCAATGAGAGCGGAGGAAACGCCACTAGCGAGCAGGAAGCTGCAACCGTGCTGGTGTGGATGCACTACTGGTGTCTCTCATTCAGAGCCCCTCTCCTGATGCTCTGATTATTCTCCTTTCATCTTCCTACACTGCCATAACCCCTGGGGCACAGCGAGATTGTGGTCTCAGCGCCCCGCTTTTAGGCGCCTCGGCAGTCCCCAGCGCCTTCTCGGAGATGAAAGGTTTCCCCTGGATACCTCTGCCCGCTATCGCCCAGCACCTTTGCGCGCTCCTCATCTCGGTAAGCTGGGTGTCACCACATCCTGCTCCGAGGGCACCGCGCCAGCGGGGAAAGGGAAAAGGCAGCGACTGCAAACCTCTGCAAGGTTCAAGGGGAGCCTGGGGGGGCCGCAGCTGCTCCTGGGGTCTCCATCCCACTTTGGATTTACTCTGAGCATGCAGAGGAAGATGCCGGACTCTTCCTCCTCATGTTCGTCAGAGCTGACTGCAGCCACAGCCCAGCGCTTTGAGCAGGAGTTTCCAGAGCGCAGTGAGCTGGGTCTTCAGCCGCGCTCAGCGAAGAATGCTCTAGTTTCCTGGAAATGCTCGTTTTGGTGCCAGGAGGGTACTCGGTTCTAACGGCCCATGTTAAGGTTGCAGCGTGTGTCACTGTTTCTGTTCTCTCTTTGTTTTCGCCCCTTTTGTTTGTTTTTCAGCGCTGCTATCGCACTGCCCGCCCCCATCCTGTCCCCACGCAGCCCTGCGGGGCTGGGGGCGGCTGCTTTGCGTCTCTCAGAGTTTTCGAGATCTCCCTTCACCCACACCACAGACAGCCAGATTTCAGCAGTGCTGTTGTTATTATCTTACCTGAAAAATCAAAGGAAGGCCCAAAACAAGGGTGACCTTCAGCTGCGTGCCTGTGGAAGAAGGGGACACCGTGTTAGTGGTGAATTGGGGCATCCTACACGATGCTCACGCTGGAAAAGCATTGATCCAGCTCCACACTGTGGAGCTCCCCACGGCCATGCAAACTGAAAACTGGGAAAACTAAATACTGAGTAAACTAAAAACCGGGTAAGCTAAAACCTGGTGAAGATGCTGACGAGATAACCCAGGGGCACATAACAAGTCACTGTCAGGGCACAGATTAAATCTCAGGGGACTGCCCCCTCCACTTCCACCTAGCTAAAGACAGCTAACTCACGCACAGTGTAACAATTTCTATTTTATACTTTCTTCCCATTTTATACCTTTTTTTTTTGTATTTTATACTTTTTTTTCCCCATTTTACACTTTTCTCGTTTTTCCTACAGCCCATCTCCTGTGCCTTGCTCCGAGCCCAGGATGCAGTACCCCCAGCCCACGTAAAACACAGCTGTGAGGACATAAATCTGGCCCAGCTGTTGGTGGCTGTGGTGGCGGGGCTGCAGCACAGGAAAGCTCGGCTCCTGCGGCGCACAGGCAATGGGGGCGGGCAGAAATTTATCGCTTGTCTCTGAACAGTGCTGGCTTCTGCTGCTTTTGGCTGTGGAGGTGTGGGATGCTGACAGCTGGGAGGACAGATTGCAGCAAGAGCCAGGGGTGACAATGGTGAGAGCAATCTCAGACAAGCAGCTCTTCCTGCTGTGGTTAGCAGAGGCAGAGGCCAGCGACAGCTTTCTCCGCTTTATTTAAAGCACACCCAGCATCTGCCTCAGCAGCGGTGACTGAGAGATGCTCCAGCCAGGAGAGTTAGAGGCAGGGGATGCCAGGGTGTGCTGGTTCCTTTAGAGAGTGTTTTTCTCCCTGTGGGTGAGCCCGTTTGTTCATGAATTTGCCCTATTCCTGTGCTTCACAGCCTGTTGTGCACAGCTCTGTCCCATTTCTCCGCAGAGCTCCTGTGCCAGGCTCCTGTTCAGGGGCTGCACTGGTCTGAGATGATGATTTTCCACTGGTACCTGCGGCCGTCACGCCTGTATCCCCGCTTTGTCATGTGCGATAGCATCCTCAATAACAGAAACCTTCGTAACAGAAACGGTTACTTTGGTGTCTGTGACTGGAGATGCTCATTTCGAGTGGTGATGTGTGGATGAGAGATCCTCAGCCACGTGTGAAAACACTCACATCTCTCACCTTGTACATGAGCTGCTCACTGTCTCTCATAGAGGTTTGTGCCTCACCTTCCCCTCTTATTTTCATCTTATGCTCACACAGATGGGTGCTCAGTTCTGTCCAAAACCCCCGTGCCTGTCCTGGCTGCAGGATGAGGTTTGGGGAGCACGTGGTGTCACCATCTCCCCCTCAAGCTGCGGGTCCAGCTTTTGCCCATCACACACAGGAAAGGCACAGCCCAGAGCCCATGAACCTGGGGTGGGTTTAAGCCCAGCCCGGTGCCGCCTTCCCCTGGTTTTCCATCTCCCCTTTGAGCCCAGGGTCAGCCCAGCCCTTTACCCATCTCAAAAGCCGTGCCCAGCCCTGCTGAGCCGCTGTTTTCTTCTTAACGCACTCTGAGGTGTTTAAAGAAGCAGGACCGATAAAGTGACTCATTAACGAGCCCGAAACGGCTCAGCTCAGTATCATTCCTTTGAAGATTTCACACTTTTTTTCTCTCTCTCAGTCGTTGTTTCAGGTGTCTTAAATGTCAAACGATTTTCAATACAAAGAACCTCGCACCGTTTCTTCCCCTGGGTCTGTCCCCCCACCCCAGCGTACGCATCCGAGGAGGCACAGCCCGCGGCCTCGTGCTGCTCGCAGGCATGTGTTGAGCGGCTCTGTGCGTCACCAGTTTCGGGCAGGCGGGACCCAACTGGCTTCTCCCCGCGCTGCTCCTGGGGTCCAGCGGCAAATGAGTTGCAGAGAAGAAATGAGACACGCTCTGGAGTTCAAGAGCCAAGTTTAGGTGGTTTGCTTTACGTTTTCTCTCTGGCAGTTCTCTGCTGTGGGTATTTTCCTAAAGTTTTGTTCCTCAAAATATCAAGAAACAAAAACCCCCCTCAAAAGTCCCCACAAGCAGTTGAACTAGAAACCTCGTTTATAGAAAGACAACAAAAACCTCATTATATCAAATGAGTCAGCGTGGGCCCAGAGCCCTCCCATGCTGGTGTGACACCCCCAGGCCCCCAAAGCAGGCCCTGGGCAGGGGAATGGCCCCATGGGAGGGGGCAGGGGCCGCTCTGTGGTGCTGATGGGGGAGAGGGAAGCAGTGGCCATTGGTTTGGAAATCTCCCATAGAGCAAGCACAGGGCGAGAGCCACCCCTTGACACCGAACTCCCACTCCTTGCCCAACTGCTCCGCCACATAAGGCAGAAGATTGGTTGCTGCTGGAAAGTGGCACTGAGTTCCTAGAGCAGGTTTTGGTTGTTTTAATTAACACTTAATCAGCCGCCAACCTGAAGCAAGGCAAAAACAGCTGTAGGAGCAGGGAAGGCCCCAGCTATGTCCAGAAAGTGAGAAATGTTTGGTAGCAAAAAAGAGGTGGAAAGAGGAGCAGGGACAACGACGTGATGGCTAAAACTGGCTGAACCCTGCAGGGGGGGGCACTGGGTCAGCTCCTGCCACAGCCAGCATGGAAATGGTGCTGAGCAAGAGCGGGGACACTTTGGAGGCGCTGGGCAGCCCCGCTCCAGACAGACCCCTCGTGAAAGGATGTTTTTTGTTGGCAGAGCTGGAAAGCCAAAGTCTCTATCTTCAGCCCCTCAACACTGCCCCTGCACCACATACCATACCTTAAACACACACTTGGTGACTCTGCACCACTGGTAGACAGGGCTTTTGGGGAAAGAACTGTGTATTTCTGAGGAAAATTAATCATACTTAAGTGATATAATGAGTATTGGCAGTTAGAGCTCAGTGCCTGTGTCCCCCCCCCCAACTGCGGGCAGAGGAAGGGACCCATCATTTCAAGAGTGATCAGTGAAACCCAGTCATACTCTACAGCAAGTCATCACAGGTCTGGTAGAAGAAAGTTAATTATCTGCCTCCATCTCTTTTAGGAAATCGTGAATCAAAGACCAGATAAGCAGAGATAAGCAAGTTAAAAATTTCATTCTTAAGTTGCCCCATCGTGTTTCCTACATAACTGTTAAAAAAAGAGAAAAGCAATAACGCTGTGTATCTTCCCATGCTGTGAAATGTTTCTTTCAGAATATTCCTCTGAAATACAACAGTAGGAGCACTGAGGGGGGCACTGGGTTGGGATGGATCGAGTGGGATTCAGGAATTCCCAGATCCAGAGATTTCCCAAGTCGTCGATGGCCACCAGCCGCAAGGGGAGACCCATGAGGACATTTCCCTCTGCCCACTGCGTCCAGTTCCCCCAGTTTGGACCCTGCAACCCCCAGTGGCGCTTCTGGGAGACCTCCAGCTCCCTCATCCTAACCTGGCGCAGGGCTCAGCACCAGCTGCCCCGCACTGGGCTCTGCATCTGGACACGGCACCAGGGGCACCCAGGCATCACCGCTGGGATTTGGGGAGAAACCCCTTCCTGGGGAAGGGGCAGAGTACAGCAAGGAGCTGTTATCCCTCTCCACTGCACCAGCCTGGTGATCTTCCATGAATCACTCAGTCTTTACACCATAATTTCTCCCAAAATGTAGAGAGAGGGCCCCAGTGCTCATCTCTGTGCTGCAGCCCAAGGCGTGGGCAGGGAACCAGGAGCTCCAATCTCAGCGCATCCTCAGCCAGGCTCAGCTCTGCCAGGGGCTCCTCACACACCTGCACCCTGGAGGGACCGGTTGGGGTTTTCTGAGCTTGCAGAACAGAACCTTGCTCTTTTTAACAGTACATAAGAGGAAGATGAAAGTATTTTCTATCATTTAAGTATTCTGTTAAAAGTGCTTTATCCCAGTGGCATAGGGCATGAATCTGGGCATCGTTAATGAAGCCAGAGGCTGCAGAAGGGGTACTCACCACCGCCCATGGTCCCGTTTTGAGTAGAGGTGAATCACGAGGTCAGCGAGAGCATTGCAGGATCCAGCGCAGCCTCGCACAGCCCCTGGCAGAGGTCCCTTTTGGGAACCTCTCTTTTATACTTCCTGCACCCCTGCAGAGGCTCACGACACGCCCTGACCCTGCTGACATTCAATAAACGACCCTCCTCCTCCTCCTCCTTCTCCTCCTCCTCGCGCCTTCACCAGCACAGCAGAGCCATGCTCTGCACCGCGCTGCCCTTGAACGCTGGGGTGTTCAGGTACTTCCTCAGTGCGCGCACACACACACACACAAAACCACACTTTTTACCGAGATGCAGTAAAATGAAGAGGGTTCTGCTTTTGCACTGACACATGAGAAATGGTCTGTGGTGAAGGGATGAGAGGACGGAGTCCCCTTTCTCATCACCCCCTGTCACAGCAGATCCTGCTGCTTCTGCCAGAGCATCCCCAGTGCTGGAGGGGACAGGGGGGTCCCATCCCCTCCACCAGACCCTTTCTGGGTGTTCAACCTTCTCCATGTGCGGGACCTCAGTGCCAGCACCCCCTGTCCTCTCCCCGGCACTCGCGGCATCCTCGCTTGCTGCCCAGCAGCCCCAGTGAGTAACTGGACTTCCCCGCGTTCCTCCTTTTGGGTGTTTTCGCATTACATCTGCCGAGGATCAGCATGCACCGTCTTCCTCAAAAGGTTTGTGCTTCTGCAGTCCCATGCCTTTCCCACCACTGTGCTGCTGCAGAAGTGTCAGAACCGGGCTCTGCCCTGAGCAGGACTTGCTCCATCCAACCCCAGTACCAAACGGGTCTGCTCCAACACAAACCAGTGGTTTTGGTCCAAGGTGGACCCACGCCCTTAGATCAGACCCCTCTGGTGGGCAGAAACATCACCAGCCTCCTGTGAACTTGTTTTCCTTTCAAAGTGACTCAAAGGATTCACTCTGGCATCTTGTCCCCTGTATCTTCTTAAAATTCATTGATGCTGCCTTTGTTGCATCTAGGCTAATTTGGAG